ACTGTAGTCTTTGGATTCTTGATATGCTATGACATCCGTCTTTGACAAGGGTTTAAAACAATTTTTTGTTCTAAAGCAGCATTTATCAGATTAAGAACCACCCATGGATTGGTCTCTATATAAATATACTGAGAAGGAAATCAAGGGCTCAGAGGCAATTATGTTCACGTGAATATTCCTATTACTTGTCTTCCAAGTTGGAGAGACATTTACTACCATATCCACAAAGAGATGAATGCAAGAAAGGTAAATAAATTAGCACAGATATGACATCTAGTTTAAATTGAAAAGATGCAGAGATTGAGCAGATATAGAAGAACATATAAAGAAATCTCACCACACTGCTCCCACTTATCGAAATTCACCAGCCATGTGCTTGAACCAATCTGTATAGATAATCCATGATCCACCCAAACCCGAAACACTTTTCTCTGCTTGTCTCCATACCACGCTTTGAGTTTATGTATGCGTTCATCCAGATTTTTCTCGACACTAGATGGATGGACAGTTACAGCAGATGGATCCTGAAGAAAGAGGAATTAAAGTTGGTGGTTCTTTCTGAACATAGAGCATAAAGTATTCCAACAAGAAATGAAAAGTGGAAACAGCATTTCTTAGTAGATTCATTAGATAAAGAAAATCAATAAAAGTTAATGCCGAAGATGTCAATAGGTTCCAGTCAAAGTAGATCTAAAATGTAACTTAGTCCTAATACTGGTTCTAGGTACAGCTACATAAAATACATTTTGGTCAAGCATTTAAGCTAAAAGTTTTCTTCACTTGCCAGTTTGTTATTTTAGGATAAATTTTGCTTTCCTAATTTTCACAATAAAAGCTATATGCTTCTATCTATACCTATACTCAAGTTAATCCATCAGCCAACACTCCAACTACCAGGGACTTTTTATTTCCACCTGGGCATGATATACGGAGCAGCAGAGTAGAGATACATTCTCAACATCATGATGATCAACCTACAGAAAGAGCACCATGTCCAATTAAAGTAACAAATAGCAATACGAGCACGACATCATTCCGGAGTGAAGCAATAAATTATGAAACCTACCATTGTATGATCAAGATCAGAAACTATCATAGGACGTGCCGAAGCACTGGGCCGATCCATGACCA